CCTCCAGAATTATTATGAGGATCAGATGAAGCTTCTGATTCCAGGTGGGGATGCAGACGGGGGTCTGGTTGAACGTTTTATCCCAGGACCCGGGACTTCTGATAGGCACTGAAACCTCGCCACCTAACACAGTTTTCCTTCCTTGCCTCCCTTCCAGGCCAGCAGCTGTGGCACAGTCCTTGGCAGACAAAGAAATGAGAAAAATACCAAATCATGGGAACCTGCGGATGACGAAGGTGGCGTACCCCTTGGGGCTGTGCGTGGGCCTGTTCATCTACGTTGCCTACATCAAATGGCACCGGGCTTCTGCCACCCAGACCTTCTTCAGCACTGCTGGGGCGGCCTCAGGGGGCCAGTGGGGCCAGCAGGCCCACAGCTCCCCAGGGACAGCTGCACATGGTCGTGAAGTCTTCTACGGAATCATGTTTGACGCAGGAAGTACTGGCACCCGTGTGCACGTCTTCCAGTTCGCCCGGCTGCCTGGAGGTATCCCAGTGGAAAGCCCTGGCCATGCACCTTTTTGGGTCCAGGCCACAGGGTCTGCCTTCTCTTCCTATCACGGCAGGTCTCTTGGGATCTCCTCACCTTAAAAGATGGTGGGGACTGGGCTCCCTGCCTTGGACTCACCTGGGAGCTTGTCAAAATGCAATTTCCTAGAGATGCTGACTAAGGGCGTGGGCTGGGACCCAGGCATCTAAATTCCTCAGGAGTCTCAAATTGTTCTTACTCACACTAGCAAGTGGAGGCCACCATCAAAAGGCAGCTGAGACCCTAGAGGGTGTTTGGTGGCCTGACCCCTCCCCATGTTCACCAGCAGGTCAGGTGGCGGGGGCCATGACTTAGGCCAGAGGTCATGCTGGTTGAACTTAAGGCAGGAGGTAACCCCAGATTCACACCCATGGGAGCCAGGAGTCCATTGAAGTCAGATAAGTAGCAAAGACCTGTAACCAGGCTGACCTGCAGCTGCCATAGTGGTTCCAGACAGCCAGCGGATGGCAAACAAGGGGGCTCAGTTTGAGAAGAGAGCTGGAGCCTGAGCCCCCTTCAGCTGTGCTCCCCGGGGTGGGCCCAGGGCTCCCATCAGGAGGAAGGTGGCCTCTCCTGTGGGGGAGACCCCACTGTTGACCAGCCCTTCTCTCTGTCCCTCTCTCGATGTCGTTCCCTCCCTTTCATCTCATCCCCTGCTGCCTCTCTTGTACCTGACATCCCTGAGGTTTGCCCTCCTTGGTGTGTCTCTCCCAGCTGTAGCTGGCAAGCGTTTCCAGTCTGCTGCTGGGCAGGTCTGTTGGTCACAGGTCTGGGTGTCCCTCCTCTGATGCTTGGCTGGCCCTTGTTACCTTTTGAGCAGGCATCATTCTTGCGTTTAACTGCTCCATTGGCACTGGACGCTTTTAGTAGCTCTTCCCAAAGCTATTGTGGCATATTTTATTTACTTTTAATTTCATCTTTATTTTTTAACTTATTACAGTAGTTAAATATGTACATGTTATATCTGCTTACCTCCAGACCTCCAGAAATGGTTCTGAAGCTAAGTTTCAGACAGCACATGTCACGGGGGCTGGCTGGTCAGCTCAGTTGGTTAGAATATGGTACTGATAACGGCAGGGTCCTGGGTCCAATCCCTATACTGCCAGCCACCAAAAAAAAAAAAAAAAGTCAGCATGTGATCATTTAATATTCCAGTGTTTTATCTTTAGAAAGAGAAGTCCTTGCAAAAAATTTGGTCTCTGACTTTTTCTTGCCCTGTTTTTCTCCTCGTTCTTTGTGTCAGAATTTAGACCGGCATTCCTTGGCCACAGTCTGCCTCCCAACACTTCCCTTGTTGCATGCACATGAATCCAGACTACTCCTAATAATTTAAAACACTCAATTTTTAAGTAAGAAGAAAAAAAAAATCTTTAGAACTCTGTAATACATCCATCCCAGAAACAAGGAAATGAGTTTTGCATTTGCAATTTGGAATCATTTTTCTTGCTCCTCTATTTGTTGAATCAGCAAGAATTGACTATGTTAAAATTTAACATTTTAAATGGATGCAGTTTTTGGTATGTAAATTATCCTCAATAAAATCCAGTTTTAAAAATGAAGTTTTGGCCAAAACGTTAGGTATAATACTCATCTTGTTCAGTGGAACTAAAGAGGCAGAATTCAGACAAGAAACAGCTAAATTTCTCAGCTGTCAATCTGAAATTAATCTATGTGGTTGGACATCTGCCTTTAAAAAGTGTGGCTAGTCATAGTTGTACATATTCATATATCTATATATGTATTCATAGTTGTATTTTTTTAAAACATGTTTTCCCCTTAGAAACTCCCTCATTGACCCGCGAAACCTTCAAAGCACTGAAGCCAGGTCTTTCTGCTTATGCTGATGATGTGGAAAAGGTAACCCTGTTCTCTCATGTCTGTTCGTTCAGCAAATATGTTTTCTAAGGTGCTGCCTGGGGCATTTAATGCCATTTAGGATGGTTGGATAGAGAGCAGGGATGCAGCTGGGAGCCCTGAGGAGAGCGCTGCCCCAGGCCTCCCAGATCCTGCCCCAGCAGCATGCAGGCCACAAACATGGGGTCCTGAAGTTTCAGTGCAGTTCAGAAGCACAAATGCTATAGACTTACAAAAACCATTATTTGAAAGTTTAATTATTTCAATTTTGTTACACTAATTTAGTTCTGTGAACTTTGCATAATACATTTTTAATTTTTTATTGCAGTTCATTTGATTGAAGATAGCAAACACTGGCTAAAACAAAAAATTGAAGTTAAAAATGTATCATGCAAAACTCACAAAACCAAATAAATATAAAAGAAACTTAATTAAACTGTCAAATAATGATTTTTGTAAGTTCGTAGGATTTATATTTCTAAAGTCCTTTAAGGGGCGGCCCGGTGGCGCACTGGAGAGTGNAAAAAAAGACAAAAAAAATACATAAATAAATAAAATAAAGTCCTTTAAGCTTACAGCTGCACTAATCTAGGACATCTGATTTTTTGCGGAGCTACTCATGAAACTGGCCGTCGGTAGGCTTGTTAAATCTTTGGTTCACGCATTTCTGAAATCGTAAGCCAATACACTGTTCTTGCCCACAGACGTATCATGGTCTCCGGAAGCATAGTTCAAGCTTGCTTCCCTGTAGCTTGGTTAGGAAACAAATGGGAATGAGTGATTCTAGAGTGACCACAAGGTTAGATCTGAATAAATTAGGTATCTTTAGGATAAACTCCTAGGATGTTTAAAGTCTTTCTTGTTTGAGTAGGTAACACACATTCAGATGGGACAAATGTTCCAGCTCCTCAGGACAACAGTAAAGGCTCCACCTCTTCTCTAGGCTGTCCCCAGGAGCATGGTGCCCTGCTCTCTTAAGTGTCCTTCAAGAGCTAATTTACGTGTACATAAGCAAAGTCACCCATATTCTTCTCCCTATTTTAGTTGGTGCACACAGTAGAGTGTCATTCACACTGTTAGGCACGTTGCTTTTTTTGCTGAAAACCGTAACTTGGCAACCATTTGCTCTCAGTGTGTGAAGAGCTTCCTGGGTTGTTCTGAGTGGTATTGCAGTGTGTGCTGTAGCAATGTTTACTGCAGGGAACCGTCACCTTCTAAAAGACATCCAGATAATGTCCAGCCTTTCCCTCCTAACAGTACAAAAAGGCTGCAGTCTGTCACCCGACACACACTTCATTGCCCACACCTGCAGGGGCGTCTCTTGAGTAAATTCTTAGAAGGGTTGTAGGTAAAAGAATGTGTGTTTTCCTGTGGACAGGCATTGCCCAGCTGCCCTGTGGTATTGCAACTATCAAGGCACCCAGCCGCACTGTCCTGACTTCCCTCCCACCCGCCCTGATGCAGGGCCTCATCCGGCTTTGGGATCTCATGGGTCCTTGGTGTAGTCATTCATGGGATTGAGCGCTACGAGGGGTTCCCACACCCTCATGTTGTCCGGGGGCCTGGTGAGGCTAGCAACAGGGTTGGGTGAAGGTTGTGGTTGCTGGACTGTGGTAGAATAGCAGGAGCCCCTTGTGGCTCCTGACCTGTCCTCACCCTGCCACGCTCCTTTTGCCTGGTCCCTGTGTCCCCACACACTCATTAGTAACACTTGCGTTACTGTTTCCTGCTAATATGGAAAATTAGAAAAAAATTATATTTATAAAACCAAAAGTGTGGAGGTAGCCTATTGACCTTGTATGCTGTGTTTGGCAGACTCCTCTTTGCTTTTACCATGTTCACAGAGTGCACAGGGCATCCAGGAGCTACTGGATGTTGCTAAACAAGACATCCCATTTGACTTCTGGAAGGCCACGCCTCTGGTCCTCAAGGCCACAGCTGGTCTGCGCCTGTTACCGGGAGAAAAGGCTCAGAAGTTGCTGCAAAAGGTGAGCTGAGCCGTTCCCTCGCTGGCATAGCTAATGATAACTGAAAACACTATCCAGCCAGAGTGGAGCAGTCCAGAAGGATGCGGAAGCTTCCTGAAGGGGGCACCCGTCATGTGTTCACAGCTTCACCTAGGTGGGAGGATAGCAGGTAGACAACACTTTCTTCCTCATGACCTTTAAGGCTGTCCATGTCTTCTAGAGTGAGTCTGTTCTCCAGTGAGAAAAACAGCTTTATTTTTGAAGTGTGCTGTGCTTATGAAGGCTTCCCTCCACCCAGGGCCCTGCTGCAGGTCAGGGCTGTGTGCACTGGGCGCCTGGTGCTGCAGCTCCCACCTGCTTTGCTGTTCTCTGTGGAACCACTTGCCCCGCTCATGGTCTGATGCTCAGGTGTGACTGCTGAAGAGGCCCTTTAGTCTCCTGTCTCCCAGCCCCGGGTCTGTGTCCCCAGCCTCCCAGCACTCTGCAGTGGGGCTGGGGAATGACTCTCCCCATCCAGTGAGTCAGCAAAACTGCTCTAAGCAGAATGATGCTCCTCAACCTCTCCCTGTCTCTGATCTACCTGGGAAGCGGTGGCACAGTGCCCATCCGTCAGGGTCCCTCACAGTCAGACCGTGGGACATGAGTGCATTTGGGGTTTGCAAGAGGCACCACAGTTGCTGTATACTAAGACTTGTTGGTCATGACAGAAGGAAATCTACCCAGATGCCAGCTGGTACATGTTAGGTTCAGTGAGACAGGAGAGAGAGAGTGACCGGAGCCAGGTACCATTTCAGCCAAAACCTTTATTCCACTAACGTGGAGTGGAGACTAAACCAGATCAGTTCCCCCAAACAAAGGAAAGCAGGAAGTTTATGAGCCTTTGAGGGTTCTGACAGAGTGATACGCAATTTCGAAATCAGTGATGTGCAAGGTGACACAGCCCTTGTGGTCCAATAACATCTTGTCGGTTGGGGCATAGGCTCTTGATTAGCCACTATCTCAGTACAAAGTATTCCAGCCCACAAGACATCCTTT